CTAAAACCCCCGTTATTCAGGAACCCAGCCACCCCTTTGTGGTTTTAGTGAAATGCGTGCCCGTCGTACGCGAACCGTGCGTGTGTGGCACTCTTAGACGGACCGTCAGGCAACGAGCCCGATCCCAGCTCTGATCTCCTTGACTGCGTCATGACACCGGATCCAGAAGAGTGAGGGAAGTGGGGAGGGGAGTTCTGTAGATACAGCACAAATCTACTAGCACTCTAGACTAGTTCACGTGCAGGCCAACATCCCTGCGCCCAGCCTGCTGTGGGACACACGGTGAACATCGTCGGTACTGACGGCCGAGCTGTCGTCGGCTGGAGACTGCCGTCCTACTTGTTTTTGTCGGTAACACTTTTCGATTATTAGTGCCTGATACACACATTGACGTGGCGACAAATGCCATATCAGATTGATGCCACCAGCATCCTTAAGCTGCCTCATCGGCGCCGACTACACTGTCCCTTCAATTTCTACATACGCCCTCTTGAGGCGTACTCTTTTCAAAACCAGAGTAATTATAAAGTACACGTTGATGGGCTTGGTGGTACTTAACTCGATCTTGGTGGCGTTCAGCAGGTCGTCTTCGTCGAAAGGCATCTTTCATCAGGAGTTTGTTACTCCTCATGACAAGGGAAGGACTTACTTTTAGACTGAAATACAAGTACCACTCTGAACTCAACCCTCACAACGCACTGCATCTGTTGAACACGATAATCTCCTAATAATTTCCAAAGTCCTTGTTGACTACTGTTCATAATGTGTGTAAGAACGCGACACCAGCTGAAAAAACCCAAATACTTCCGACCCATGATAGCGTATGCATTTGTAAGTTGCGCATTTTCCTTTATAACCATACGTCCTTGTAAGTAAACGTGGTGCCATATCAATGGAAGTAAACGTCCCATTTTCGTAACTTACAAAGTATTCCCGTTTTCCTTTCGGTAAGACATACAAACGGGAACATATCTCTTCCCCCTGTTCCACGGCTATACAGGTTACCGTGTACAAAATTCAAAGGGGGAGGGGGGGGTAAATATTCCTGTGTCCTAACCCTAATTCTCTCAGGCGTTTGTGCAAGGTCTTCGGAACAGGGGAGAGGTCCCTACTCCCGCATATGGCCTTTCTTCCTTACGTACAGTGCCACCAACCAGGTTTTTATCCCCTCAGCAACCCCACGGTATAGGATATTGAACGCCATCACATTTCACCCAATCACACGACGATTAGGAACACTGGAAGCAGATTTCTTGGTGTATCTATTTCCTGAATCGGTGTTTTAACTAATTAAAGAGCTTTCCAAATTTATGTGGCCTTTTCACTAGCAGAGCACTCCCCACAGTCTTCCATCCGTGTGAGTGCACTCACTCGGGGTCCGACAGAGAAGTGAATTTTAAATTCGTATTCGACTGACAATAGTCCCCTTGCCCTCCCCCTTCCCCTGCAAGTTCATTTTATCTTGCATATGTAAAGCATGTACGCATCCCTTATCTTCATTCAACTGACCCCTGAGTGGGTTGAATCCTGTCTGAAGGAAGAGGTCTCTTGAACTGTTACCTAACCCCAGAGGATATGGCCGTTGGGAGACTTCCAGGGCCGCAATTACCTGCCTATGATCCCCCTCCCCACAACAGTTTTTATCGAGTGCTATTTTACTACGAGGTTCATAAATAATGCGGTTTCCCTGCCGTGGCGAGAACTGAAAAAGCAACGTCTGTTCATGTATGTAGGTGAATTTGGGTTGTTTAAACAACGCACAGGAA